GTCAAACATTCTGAAAAGCTAACCACTACCTCTTTGAAAAGAAATTATGATGCAGTGTAAAGCAGGCATGTTATGCCATGATGAAAGTATGGGGCATTACTGAACATTGTAATGTAACCTAACCCTTGTTGGCAGTTTTGCTTCTTGTCCAGTAAGCAGGCAAGACCACCAGCAGCATAGTGCAAGGGTGGGCTGTAGGCCTCACTACATGCCATTGCCTGTGCACAGACTCGCTTGAATATATATTACAACTTCATGATAAATGCAATACAGTATTTATCTCACAAAAGTCTGCTATAGGGCAGCAATTCCTCCCACATGATGTGCTAGAGAACAATGGAATTTCTCAGAGAGAATCTCACCAGTGGGGGGCAACTACTCCCTGCATTGTGCTTAGTTGACTAATGGGCAACTTCAACTTACTCTGTGCTAAGGCATGGGTGGGTGCAAGCCACCACCAAGGAGAGAGAAGAGAAACTGAATGTGGTTCTCGGAAATATGGTCCTCAGAAACTGCGAGCATGCTGCCAGCTGAGACTCCAGACTAAGATGCATCCAACCAACCTGTTCAGAGTGGTGACGGAGAAGCAGCTACTGGGCAGTAGTGGTAGCTGAAGGTGACACTGATGGAAGAGGCAGCAACAGTGACACACAAGCTAACTTATGTTAGTACTGTGCAGAAGATGGCAATAGTAAACCACTACAGAACTTTCCTTACCATCAGTCCAAAATGAAACAAGAAATAGTGTTGGAAGATGACTCCCAGGTCAGAAACCACTCAGTCAGCTACTGGCAATGAGCAAAATACAAGTAAGAGTAGCACTGCCTCTAATGACACAACTAGATTAAAGATGAAATAACATTGTAGTGGCAGAAGTGAAAGGAAAGTCCAATGCTCCACCACATATGCAATTGGAACATGGCATGTGAGAGATATAAATCAAGGTAAACTGGAAACTGAAAAGCAAGAAATGGAACATATAAACATTCAGATACTGATAGAACTATGTCAAGCCACAAAGACTGAATCTGTCAAAATCCTATCAAGAATATGCCAACAAATATGGAAAACAAAAGGATGGCAAAGACTGGAAACATTCAATATGCATTCCAATTCCCAAGAAAAGAGATGCCAAGGAGTGCAGTAACTACAGAACTATTGCTCTAGTTCTGCATTTCCCATACAAGAAAAGTGATGTTCAAGTCGTTGCAACAATAGATTTTACCTTATATGAAACAAGAAATGTCTGACTGCAATTGAATATTAAAAAAGATAAAAATTATGACGACCAAAGAACTGTACAACTATAATGTACATAGTGAAGAAACTGACATTAAAGATTTTGTATACTTTGGTTCAGTCATCAATCTAAATGGACACTTTAGCCAAGAAATTAAAAGGAAACTGAGACTAGGAAGGGCAGCAATGAAGGAATTAGAAAAGATCATAAAGTATAAAACAAAGCAAAGTGTGCCGCATATATGGGCAGTTTACAATGTAATTATGCAGGCTAAACATTGCCCCACAAGTAAAACTGGGTCAAACCGCAGAAGCCTCTGTGTTGCAAGGTCAGAAGGCCAGCAGTTGTAAGATTGAATCCATGTGACCAAGAGAGCCCCTGTCGCTTGTCCCAGCTCCTGCCAACCTAGCAGTTCGAAAGCATGTAAATGCAAGTAGATAAATAGGTACCACCTCGATGGGAAGGTAACGGCGTTCTGTGTGTCTTGTCACGCTGGCCATGTGACCACAGAAACTGTCTATGGACAAATTCTGGCTCTACGGCTTGGAGACAGGGATGAGCACTGCGCCCTAGAGTCGGACACAACTGGACTAAATGTCAAGGGGAACCTTTGAGTTTTGTTTTATTTGTTTAGTCATTTAGTCATGTCCGACTCTTCATGACCCCATGGACCAGAGCACACCAGGCCCTCCTGTCTTCCACTGCCTCCCAAAGTTGGGTCACATTCATGTTGCTCGCTTCGGTGACACTGTCCATCCATCTTGTCCTCTGTCGTCCCCTTCTTTTCTTGCCCTCACACTTCCCCAACATCAGGGTCTTTTCCAAGGAGTCTTCTCTTCTCATGAGATGGCCAAAGTATTGGAGCCTCAGCTTCAGGATCTGTCCTTCCAGCGAGCACTCAGGCTTGATTTCCTTCAACATGGATAGGTTTGTTCTCCTTGCAGTCCAGGGGACTCTCAAGAGTCTCCACCAGCACCACAATTCAAAACTATCAATTCTTCAGCAGTCAGCCTTGTTTATAGTCCAGCTCTTACTTCCATACATCACTACTGGAAAAACCATAGCTTCAACTATGTGGACCTTTGTCAGCAAGGTGATGTTTTAAAGGGGAACCTTTACCTTTACCTAAACATTGGCCCTCCGCCATGCAAGCTGGGCACTCAGTTTACCAACCTCAGAAGGACAGAAAGATGAGTGAACTTTGAGCTGGCTACTTGGGATGGAACCCGGGTTGTGAGCAGAGCTCTGGCTCCAGTACTGCACTTTAACCACTGCGGCACAAAGCTCCTAAGGAGAAAGCTGTGTCACTAGAGACAAAGAACATCCACACTTGTATTCCCAGTCACTATGTTCAAGTGTGTAAGCTAGTCAGTAAAGAAAGCTCTCAGAAAAAAATTTGATTCATTTGAAATATGATGCTGACGAAGAGCTTTGCAGATAGTGTAGACTGCCACAAAGACAAACAAGTGGGTCTTAAATCAAATTGGCCTGAACTATCTCTGGAGACAAAATGCTGAAACTGAGGCTGTCTTATTTTGGGCACAGCATGAGCAGACAGGATTCTCTGGAAAAGACAATAATGCTGGGAAAGGTAGAAGCCAGCAGGAAAAGGGGAAGGCCAATTACAAGATGGCTTGACTCCCTTAATGAAACCACAGGCATGAGTTTACAACAGCTGAGAAGGGCTGTTGAGGACAGTGTACTTTAGAGAACAGGGGTGGAAAGGAGTTAATAAGCCTGCTTATTTTATTTTCCTACTGTTCACTAGTACATTCACCTCTTGCTTTCAGCACCCTCTGAATTTCTGGTGCCCTGGTGTGTTTCATCAAGTAGAACCTGCAGATAACTCCAAAATAACGTTCTCAACTTGAGTGATAAGTAGTGGTTTTAGCAGTTCCAAACCCCTCCCTGTTTAGTCATTTAGTCATGTCCTCCATGTGAGTTTCCATGGTCAAGTGGAGTCTTAGCCTGTCTCAGTGTTGACTGCAACACCCTGGATAACCCAGGCTGCAATCATACTAGAGAAATGCCCGCCCCGTTTCTTACAACTTCTGCTTCCTGTATAGTCATATGTTGTGGTCATGTGGCCTGTGGTAGTGGTTCATACATTTTTAAAAAACCGCTTGGCCCTTTTTTAGGATAAATTAGATGAGGTACTTTAGTCTACACCACTCAAGTAGGACATACCGTCTTTTCTGTGCATTTCTCTGTCCCCCTTCCCTTTTGAAAAAAAAAACACCACTTTATGGTACCCAGCCACAAGGACCAGTGATCACTGCACACAAAAGACCAGCTAATGACACCCATCAATCACAGTGACAGCTCATCTCTCCCCTTATCACAACAATACACCCACAACAAAAACACACGGATCACCAGAATCACCCAATGTCCTGAAAAGGACAAAAGCTGATCCCACAGCTATAAATACTCAACTATCCAACAAACTAGGGACGTGGTGGCGCTGTGGGCTAAACCGCAGAAGCCTGTGTTGCAGGATCAGAAGATCCGGCAGTCGTAAGATCGAATCCACGCAACGGAATGAGCACCTGTCGCTTGTCCCAGCTCCTGCCAACCTAGCGGTTCGAAAGCATGCAAATGCGAGTAGATAAATAGGGACCACCTCGGTGGGAAGGTAAACAGCGTTCCGTGTCTAAATCACACTAGCCATGTGACCACGGAAAGATTGTCTTCGGACAAACGCTGGCTCTATGGCTTGAAGAGCGGGATGAGCGCCGCCCCCTAGAGTCGGACACGACTGGACAAAAATTGTCAAGGGGAACCTTTAACTTTACCTTTATCCAACAAACTGCAACAGAGCACAGACAGAGTTCTGACTCCTGTCCTCTGAAGATGCCGGCCACAGAGACTGGCAAAACATTAAGAAGAACATCCTTCAGAACACGGCCAAACTGCCTGGAAAATCCACAACAGCCACTGTGTGGTATGTTGGTGTATTGGCTAATCCTCTGTGCTGTGAGAATACCTCAAAAATGTGTTGTCTTCTTAGCACCACCTGGCAAAAGCATGCTGTCAGTGGCAGGCTAAGAAAACCCTCCTTGGGTACTTGAAGCCGTACTTGACAGAAGCATACCAAAGCACCAATACACCTGTTTGGGAAATTAATAAAAAATAATAATTAAATGAGTCGAACAACAGCAAATGGGTGTGGTAGGATGTGAAGGAAAAGAATTGATTTAGTAGTGCACATTTCAATGGGATGTTGGCTGTGCTGCACAATGAAATGCGGAGCAAACATAATAGTAGCCTCCCAGTGGGCTGGATTTGGTGCAGAGATAGCATCAAAAGAAACAGTAACGGCCCTATGTTGGCTGACCCAAAAGGGTCAAAATTCAAGAGGAGTAACTCGAAAACATTTTTTTCTGATGTGGCCACAGCCTCAAAGCTCTCCCAGTGCCTCAGTAGCCAAGCCCTTGGGCAAACCCCGCTTTATTTTCCAACATGTCGTGGCCCTGCAGTTGCAGCTGCTGCCTGAGGGCAGCTGTCTCGCTCTGTTCTCATAGCAGGGGCCGCCTCAGCCTTAACAAGTCCGAATCGAGGTCCTCTTCCACAGCGGAGCGACAGAGACCGATATTTCTCCCGGGCCTTCGGATCTTTCTCAGACGCTGGAGGGAGACAGAGGCCAGCTTTTCAAAGGCAACCGCGGTTCGGCGGCAGCCTTTCTCGCCGCGGCAGCCAGCAGGCGCTCTCGCTTCAGCCGGAAAAAAAAGGGACGGAGGTGTAGCGAAGTGGAGAAGAAGGGAGCTAGCCTGAGTCGGGCGAGCACTCTTTCCCCCGCTCTGCGCTGCACCGGGAGCAGGTCTGAGGGCTTCTGCTGCCCTTCTGAGGGGACGGGGGAGGGGTTTCGGCTGCTGGAGAAAGACGGCCGCCCATCCACCCGAGGCTCCCAGAAAAGGCGGGCAAAGCCGTCAAGGGAAAGCCGACTCCGCGAGGAAAGGCACTTTGAACCCGGGTCTCGGAGCTGGGAAGGACCGAGCGAGGGAGCGACTGTTTCCGGACGCAACGCCTCCGTCCCGCGGGTTTCTCGTTCACCCCTTTGCTGTCAAGCTTTTGGTGGCTTTCCCGCCCCTGGACTTTTGCCTCCGCCTCAGGGCACGTCGGGCAGCCCTGCTTAGATGCGCTCCCCGGGTGGAAGTGCGCGGGAGGGCGCTTGGCCGGGATGCGGGCGGCAGCTTTTGCCATTCAGCCCGCGACGCGCCCGGGGAGGCGGCCGGTGTGAGGAACTCTGACGGGAGAAAGAGGTCCTGGAGCCGGACGGGCGGGGCGGGAATACGCCGCCGCCAAAGCCGCTGCGACTGCCACCCTTGCGCTGAGCGGATGATCCGACGCCAGCTCACCCTGACCTAGCGCGCCTGCTTGGGACCCCGCCCGCCCCCCCCCCCGTCCTCGGGCAAAGAAGGGTCCGGAGGCTACGTGTGAAGAGCAGTTCCGAGAAGGACACGCCAACCTGCCGCTTCATCAGGCCCTGGCCTGAATCCCACCTACCCCCCCTCCCCATCCCTTCCAGTCCCATCCAGGCGGATGAGTGAAAACGGTACGATCCGGGCGAAAGCTGCCGTCTGAAGAAGCCAGCCAGCGATTTGGAGAAGTTACACGCGGACTGGCTCGCCGGGAGGCAGGGAGACTTATTTGTGGCCTCTTTTTTTTTCCTTTTAAATTCCTCTTCCCCCCCTCCCCCGGCAGAACTGGAAGAGGTGAGGGGGAGAGGAAGGGATCCGGAGAATGGAAGGAGACAAAGTGGCCGAAAGTGGCTCTGCGTGTTGAAATACCGAGCCAAGTCGGCCGAGATGGAATCGTAACGGAGCGGGAGGGCGCTTTCTCTGCGGCACTCTGGAGAGTTTGGGTTGCGCGCTCTCTGCGTGGATCGGGGCTCCGCGGGGCTGGCCGAAGGGCGGGAAGCGGCGCAAAGGCTGCGGAGCTCACAGGTCTTTCCCCTCCTCTCCAGAGGGAGAGACGCGAGAGCGGCCGGCGCTTCTGCCTCTCCAGGCCCCCCCTGCCTTTTACCTTTTGTATGAGTGGGATCGGGAAATCGCGCAAGCGGATCCGACGCCCGGCCTCTCCTTCCCGTACCCCTTTCCCCGGTTTGCCTCCGGATTGATCCCCGGCGACGAGGGGCGCAAACTTCTTTTCTCCACGAAAACATTTTGCCCCATCTTGAAAAAGTAGCTCGCCGTGTACACACGGACTCCCCAGCCCGCTCCCCAGCCCCCCAACTCGCCCCACCTCACCGCACCCCCACCCAATGCTACCGGATGCTGCAGGCGGATTTGGAAATTGGAAGCGATGCAAGTCCGATAAGGTTGGAGTTTCCCTTTGGGATCTGAAGGAGGATCGCTAGGTGGTTCCTTAAGGAAGCGGGGCTGCAGGTAGGTGAGGGAAGGCGTCGCCGCCGCCGGGGCTGCCTGACCAGCCAGGGCTGGGCTGGGCTCAGCAACAGCAGCAGCTCCTGCGCCCTTATTAAGAAGGCAGAAGTCTAGAGCTCTTAAAGTGGATTAGGGAAGCCTTTTTACACCCAGTAACCATAACTACCTTCTATCGGTTTCTTTTCATGCTAATAGGTGCTGTGGGGATTGCAGCTGGTCCTGATTAGGGTGGTCTAGTGATTCCACGCAGCTCAATCTGGAGTGAAAAATAACAAAACGGAACAAAACCGGTGCTGCTCCTATCTGGGTCCTGGATGATGTTATGCTGCATGGGCATTTCACATGGGGTGTGACTTTTGCAGGGAGATGTGGAAGCTGGATCCCTTTCTGCTTGCCTGGTGGTTGGATCTACTCTCTGGACTATTTCTTTTCTTGTCCTGAGAAAAAATAGTGGAAGGCAGCAATCAAATACACTGCACTGGCCAGAGGTGGGAGAAAGCAGGGGGCCAGGGGAAGTTTGAAAGGAATGTGGGTCTCAGTGTTACAAGTGCATACCTAGGATCAGCTGACTATTATATTGTTAGATCTTAGCATTTGTGAAACAGGCTGCGTTGAAACTGAGAGATGACAAAGGCAGGGGGCTTACTTCTGAGTATGTGTGGGTGAAAAGAATATTGTATTCTTGTTCGGAATTGTAACATTGAGATCTGGTAGTGGTTCTGGAGGAGGTGACCGAGAAGGCAAATGGTTATTTTGTGTACCATATTCTTTGTTAAATGGTTCTTTACCCACCTCGAAAGAGATCCTGGAAAAACCAATGGTGATAAACTGACAGGTTTCTTATCTCTGTCCCATTTCCAGATGATTCCTGCTGAGTTCATAAGGAGATTATAAATATCATATTTGAAGAAATGCACTGGGAGCTGGGCACATATTTTCCTAGAATCCTGTGTAGATTTGTTATAGCGTGATCAGATTGTTTGAAAAGAAGCCCCCTGCCTGATTCTATTTTAGGAAGCCATAAATATCCAGAAATATTGGTTATTTCTTCAAAATAAGTGACAGTCTCTTCGAATCAGAAGGCATTTTGGTCATCTGTAATGACACTGGATTTGTATTAACTGGCCCCTTCATGCTCCAGTGTGGATCAATGAGATGTGTCAGGTCTCTTCTGTGAAATCCTCACACTGTCTGTTTCTTATTATTTTAATCCTTTCCCCCTCCCTCCCTCCTTCCCTCCCTGTATATCTGCAGGAGGAGATGCAGGGCCATCTGTAAGAGTCTATTGATTTCTGTGCTTAACTCCTTTCATAAAGAGCAAGGCAGGTAACTTCCAGAGCCTCATATATCCTGAGATATTTTATTCTGTTTAGATACCAGTTGCTTTATTGGATGACTTCAGGGAGAAGTTAAAGAGGAGAATTGTTTTATGAATCCCTGTGGGGGGAAAAGAGCTTTTATAAAGCCTGAGGTTTATGACTTCTTTCCATGTAAATGCTCTCCCAAGTTGTGGCTTATGAAGGGAGACCAGTTTTTAAAACCATCTGCTTTCTTTCTCCCCATTTATCATATATTATAAATGCAAATTGCCATTTTGCCTGAGTTGCTGTCCTGTGTTGAAGAGTGAGGCCCTCTGCACACCACTGCCTCCCATTTCAAACACCACTGCCTCCCTTTGCAGAATCTGGAGTTTTCAAATACTAGCTGAATTTCTAGTACGGATCTTATAATGGAAGCAATAGAGGCAGTTCTCTTGAGTACTCTGAAGATGCATGGTTAGTTTTCCAGCTTTCTTTTTCTGACTGTATTGATCCTTTCTTTTAGATTACAGCTGCCTGGGACACTTTTAAATTCAGTGTATAGTTAAAAGAGTCTGTTCCTCACAGTTAAAACAGCGTGAGAGACGTTTTACCACCAAGGTGCTATTGGGTGAAGACTTTGTCTTGTGTGTGTGTGTGTGTGTGTGTGTGTGTGTGTACGTGTATACACACGTCGGCATTTTTACACAAATATGGAAACCTGAGTAAATGTTCAAAGCATAAAGGTTTTAAATTATCTGGTCATAACATTGGTTGGTTTTAAACACTGATTAATGAAATGCCATTGGCTTTGAAAACTATGTTTGTGACTCAGTGGAAAATAAACTGGAAAAGTATAGTGGCATTCAAAGCGTACAGTATATATGTTATTTGTGAATTAGGACCAACTGATTTAAATGCATCGTATTTCTATGTATGTCTAGTCACTACCAGAATCCTTTTGGTCGTCATGTGTCTAGGTAGTATTTCTGTGCTAAGCTGATTTTGGTTGACATCAATTTTGTATTAGGACACGATTGTTGGATATAAATTGTGATGTTGAATAGAGCCATGAGTGATAATAACATGGCCACTGGAAAACATGACTGATGTGGTATCTAGCTGGGATTATTTTGACTCCTCTCATGCGGCACAGTTTACTGCTCCAGTCCCATGAAATGACTGACTATTGCCGAAGAACATTTTAAAAGCATATATGCATCTAAAGTGCATCCCTGGTACACTGTGATAGAATTGGATATATTTGTGTTGCAAGACTCTTCTGAAAATCATAGGATTTCACCATTACATCAAAGGACAGAGAATACAGCAGACAAGTGAACTGGAGTTAGAGACCAAACCATAGAATAGGTACTGCATTAGCGATCTACTCCACTTATTCAAAAGCAAAATTCTGTGGAATGAGTCATAGGACCTCGTAAACATTTGCTTTCAGAAAGCTCCTGCTCCAAGCTTCATAGGATTCTTTAATAGCTAACGACTTTTACAGTGTAATCTACATGAATTTATGAAATTGCTGTAGACCAAGCTCTAAACCATTGGTATATCTACCCTACCGTCTACCCTCAGTGGCTTTTCAAGATTTCATGAAGTGTTCATGGAATCATTGAAGCTAATGAAAAAGCTCATAGAAAAATAAGTTCTCTAAGAAATGTTTTATATTAGTGAAGGAGTACTTTTTCTTTTTGAGAAAAGACACTTCTAAATGCAAAGCTGCATACACAGCAATGGGGCAATATTTGAATATCTCACTACACAATACTTAATGCTGTGGATTTGCTCAGATAATTTGAAAGTATAGTACGAAGTGTATTGACCTCACTCTTTAGCTAACAAGAAAAGAAAACAGTATACAATAATTCTTTAACTAAGAAATTTTATCATTCAGTATCAAATACAATCATTTTTCTGAGGTGTTTAAATAAAATAAAACGATTATTACTTGGGTGAAAAGCCCATGTTTACTTCACTATTTTCCTGAGAAGTTTCATCGAGAGGGCAATCTTACATAAAATTACTCAGAAGTAAACCCAATTGGGTTCAGTGGGATTTATGCCAATTTCAGTGTTTGTGATATTGCATTTATCTGCTTAATTCAATTCTTTATTAAAGAACAGCAATTCTTTATTAAACAACAGAGATCAAAGAGCAAATATATCTTTCAGTATCACCAGTGTGAAAATTTAAGAGTATAATAAATACAAGGATTATGTGCATCTGATATGTGCATGTCATCAACCAGAGAGAGAAAGAAGAAAAATGCCATGAATGAAGGAATATGCAACCTAAGATTCTGAAAACCTGCTGCATTTATATCCGCTCAAATTTGTCATCTCTGATTTAAATATCCTCTTTAAATTCAAAGCTGTATTGTCACGCAGAACAGTGACTTTGAAACAGTTTATTCAAAATATAATTGCTTTGACAATACATACGTGTTAGTTCCTTTAACAAATCAGAGATCCTTATGGGTGAACAAAAGTGCTACTGTGAATAAGCTGTCACAGTTTAAGTGCTGTTTAAAATAACCCTCAGATTAAGAAAATGCAGGAATAACTTCATTTGCTATTATTTCTTAGGCTGCAAACACATGAATGGAAGGGTAAAGTCCCTGAACTTCATAGGATTTATTTCTGCGTAAACATGAAAGCATTGCGGTGTTAGTATTACAGGATTATTCTTTAATTGTGCAACCACAGAGTAAATATTAGCAAGCATAGCAAAAATAAAAGGCATTTGTTGGTGCCTGTAAACAGAAACATTTCTAATTATGAAGCAGTAAATAACATTGTAACCATAGAACTCCATGTGAAAAGGCTATGACCAATTTATATGTCAAAATATAATATAGTTTCTTTCTTTCTTTTTAAAAATAGGAATGAAGTGAATCAAAAGAGACATTAGCTATCCATGCAAGTGGGCATCAGATACACAAACATATTTTCGGAGAGCAGTAACTTTACAACCAAGTCTGTTGAAATCAGAAAATTTCATGAATAGTGGTATCACTAATACTGTAGCTTCTAGGCAACATTTTCATATTGAGTCAATCCAGAGCCCCTTAACTGTATGGTCTATAGATACATCAGACCATGATTCTGCCAATGTAATTTTGTGGTTAACAACTTCCATCCAACTTCTGATAAATTGTACACTGTGAGTTGCCTATTAAAAGGAAGAAGAAAATAATGTCTACTCCATGTACTCATCTAGGACTAGAGTGCAAAGCTATTAACTGTTGGAATACTACAATTCAATCAGATTTTATGCTATTGCTTTTATAGAGTATATTTGAAAACATACTTTATTGAGAGAGAGGGAAAGAGATGGCAGGAAGGTGAGAGGGAGAGACAAAATAGAAGATACTGCTTCTGTGTAACTGTGAGAATGGTACTTGGCATATGTGATGACAATGGGACAGTTAAGCAAGAAAGAACTGTACACTAATTTTTTGCAAGCATAGCCTCAGATTTTGGAAGAACTAAATAAAGTGCAGGTTATGGAAAATGTCTTATGAATTTGGTTCTGTGGCCCTCATATGTGGGAAACAATTAGACATTAGAGCAAACACTATTCATACAGGTAAAGATTTTCAGGCGTTGAAGGATAAGGCTTATCATGTACATGCCTGAACAGAGGAATGGAATCAGCTGATGTTTTTTAGTTACCAAGGTGGCAAACTTC